TTTTGGGTGAACTAACCCTTTAATCTGGTTCATTTCTTCTTTTTTTCAGCTAGTCGAAGTTTTGAATGGCCGGTAAGTTAAATTGTTGGGTGAGTGAAAAAGTTAATTTCAAACACTGGCTATATCTGTGATGTGAACGCTGCTATTCTTTCGTATTGAGAATGATTTTTAGAACTAAATCTTTATATAGTTATATCTTCATTATCTTAATAGTTATCGTCCTTGGTGTGAACTATTGGGGGCAAATCGAAATTAATCACTTGTCAATCAAAACCCCAGGCCTATTGTGAGCATCGGACGGACGGGTGTGCTATCTGAAGCTCTGCACTGGTGTAAAACACATCCACTAAAGGCCTTCGTCACACAGTGTGTGTGTTGTTCTGCAGGAGGGCTTTATATTCCTGCTGTTCCTTCACGGGTACAGCCTGACAGATGAGAGGCGAGCTGGTCTCTTTCTCACCTGATGCCATCTGGTTTCTGACAACTTGTGATTAATCTGTCAACTGTGACCTAAGATGGGTAAATCCACCATTCGCCCATGTCTAAACGCTGCATTAAAGGGTTGGGCTACTTCACCTAAAAATGAAAATCCTGTCATCAAATACTCACTCTTGAGTCGTTGCAAACCCATAAGACTTTCTTTCATCTTCAGAAAGAAGATATTTGGTACACTATACAAGAAGGTTCTTTAGTTATTGTATTATTAACTAACGATAAGCACTACAATTGTTACTGCATTTATTAATGTTAGTTAATAAAAATACAACTTGTTCACGTTAGTTCACGGTGCATTTACTAATGTTAACAAATACAACCGTTGATTTTAATAATGTATTAGTAAATGTTGAAATTAATGTTAACTAAGATTATTAGGCTAAATGCTGAAGTATTGGTCATTCTTAACTAATGAACCTTATTGTAAAGTGTAACTGATATTTTTATTGAAATCTGAGAGATTTCTGATCGCAAAATTAACCAAGTGCGTCTTCTAAAGAGCCACTTTTAATTTAGGCTTTTATTCACATATAAACATTGATCCGCGAACGTACACCGAACACTCGAATATAGAAACCGGAAGCTAGTCATGCAGTCATGATATTAACATTTTGGTCGATACCGATAACTTTACATTTGAAAGCCGATAACCGATATATTGGCCGAGAAATCCAAATCCAAATTTTTATATAATTCTTGAGAGCCTGATTACAAGAACAAAAGTCTACTAAATCCCATGTCCCAAGAACACAATTATGAACATTTTGGTTGATACCGATAACTTTACATTTGAAAGCCGATAACCGATATATTGGCTGATAAATCTATTTTAAATCCAAATTTTTATATAATTTGAGAGCCTGATTACATGAAGAAAAGTCTATTAAATCATGTCCCAAGCACACAGTTATAAACATTTTGGTCGATACCGATAACTTTACATTTGAAAGCCGATAACCGATATATTGGCCGATAAATCTAAATCCGATTTTTATATAATTTTTGAGAGCCTGATTACAAAAACAAAAGTCTATTAAATTCCATGTCCCAAACACACAATTATGAACATTTAGGTTGATACCAATAACTTTACATTTGAAAGCCGATAACCGATGTATTGGCTGATCAATCTAAATCCAATTTTTATATAATTTTTGAGAGCCTGATTACAAAAACAAACGTCTATTAAATCCCATGTCCCAAACACACAATTATAAACATTTTGGTCGATACCGATAACTTTACATTTGAAAGCCGATAACCGATATATTGGCCGATAAATCTAAATCCAAATTTTTTGTATAATTTTTGAGAGCCTGATTACAAGAACAAAAGTCTATTAAATCATGTCCCAAGCACACAATTATGAACATTTTGGTCGATGCCGATAAGTTTACATTTAAAAGCCGATAACCGATATATTGGCCGATAAATCTAAATTTTTATATAATTTTTGAGAGCCTGATTACAAGAACAAAAGTCTATTAAATCATGTCCCAAGCACACAATTATGAACATTTTTGGCGATACCGATAACTTTACATTTGAAAGCCGATAACCAATATATTGGCCAATAAATCTAAATCCAAATTTTTTATATTATTTTTGAGAGCCTGATTACAAGAACGAAAGTCTATTAAATCCCATGTCCCAAGCACACAATTATGAACATTTTGGTTGATACCAATAACTTTACATTTGAAAGCCGATAACCGATATATTGGCCGATAAATCTAAATCCAAATTTTTTTTATCATTTTTGAGAGCCTGATTACAAGAACAAAAGTCTATTAAATCATGTCCCAAGCACACAATTATGAACATTTTTGGTCGAAACCGATAACTTTACATTTGAAAGCCGATAACCGATATATTGGCCGATAAATCTAAATCCAAATTTTTATATAATTTTTGAGAGCCTGATTACAAGAACAAAAGTCTATTAAATCCCATGTCCCAAGTACACAATTATAATGTTCTCTTTGTAATTTTATTTAGCCGACATGACAGACTTAATCTGCGCATGTGATTCTTGAAATATGATTCCAATCATATTTCAAGCAATTCAAAACCATCATGTTGAACAATGCGCATCTGAAGCATCTCAGTCGAAGGAAATAATACATTATTTATCGACTTTAATATAACAGCCAAATTTTCTTATAGGGCCGATAACGATGACATAATAAAATACCATATCGGCCGATACTGATACGGTGGCCGATATTTCATGCATACCCAACAAAAGCTCAACCATACTTACTCGGTTCATATGGATTTATTTTATGAATGCTTTGAAGTGTTGGGTTTCAATGGAAGGGACAGAAATCTCACAGACTTCATTAATAATAACTTCATTTGTATCTTAACGAAAGTCTTATGGTTTTGGTGAGCAATTGAAGACAGAATTGTCATTTTTGGGTGAACAGTCCCTTTACATAAACTGTATAATAAGGCTGAGAATAGCGGGTGTATGTCTAATACGTCAGATGTGCTGTAATAAAAAATTAAAAAAAACATCACAGTTTTCCATGAGATATAGACTAGAGATTATAGACTTTCAAACAGTCCCATATGGAACAATCATGATTATACGTCTAAAAATATATTCACTACATGCATTAATATTAATACCTCACAGAAAGCTGTCATTCAATGCATTCAGTATATTAAAACCGTGACATTTACTCATTGAATTTAGAAGTCAATGCACACATGGAAAGGATCATGTGGCTGATTTATAGATAAGAATTATTGTTTTTTTATTAATAACGCAAAAAAACATCACCTTTGAATAATTTCCTGAAGAATAAAAAAATTATGCATTAAGAAAACATAAAACTCAGTTGACTTGACCTCAATTGTGACGATGATGAGTCATGCAATCTTGAGTGAACCAGATGTAACTTGAGGCAACATGACGGCACTCACCCTATATTAATAAACAACCCATTACCAAAGATTCGCCCATAAAATGATTATCATCAATATGTGTTATCATGTGTGACATATCAATCTGACAAGCCTGTGAGACTGGCATTTCTTTCAGAGCAGAGAAGCATATATCGGGGGTGACATTTGATTTGCATGAATCATGCTGCACATTTCAGGATAATCCTTTGTTTTCCAGAGGGAGATGGTTTGAGTCAGGATAGTTAGTTATTAAATTGTCATTTGATGCCACACACTTTGAAGACGCCGAAAAAGTGACAAAAGTCTGACTCATTTCTGCGAATTGGTTCTTTCGAACACTTATTTAACGAAGTGATTCAAAATAACAAAATTCACATGGTTCCCAACCGGTTCAGTTTTCCCATAGGGATTTTAAAGAGGCCATGAAACAAGCCAACCAGCTACGAGATTAATCAAAACATTATAAATATGATTTGAAGAAAAGAAAAAAATTGAAAAGGGCACAGATTAAGAAAAGGCACCAGACTGTGAACTTTAATGAGGGAAGAAACCACGATCCCATGAGGCCTTAGATATAAAACAGTATTTTTTGACTGACTATGTCATTTGCTGTGCATCATGGGAGTGGGCAGGCAGTTAAAGAGTTATTCTGCTGCAATTTTTTATGTTTCCATTCTCTGATTGGTGGAGAGTGTGAGCAGAATCATGGGTAATGTAGTTACTCACCAGAAATTCTCTGTTGAAAATGTATTATTTACAAATTAAACTGTAAGAATGTTGGCTAGCGCGGGTTTTACAAAAGCATACACAATCATTTAACGCCTAGTAGTCACGTCACAGTACGTCATTCTTTAAAGGTATTGTTAAAAATCAGTTCCACTAAGGAGAAAATAAAGGGATTTTGACACGACTGTTGCACTATAAAGCCATAATGTAGATTTACTATTAAGGGTTTTTATTAATTGTAGGCTACTGTTCGGTTAGTTGAAGCAGACTCACAGACAAAATAAAACGTCAGTTATATTTTTGAATAATTAACGGTTCTCGGTTCAAACAAGTCAGCGAACCGATTCAGTGCGGTTGTTAAACGAAGCATTAAAACGATTCACTGAAATGATCCGTCTCAAAAAGGTTCACGAATTGTTGCTATAATAACAGAATTATTAAAAATGGAGGCAGTGAACATAACTTGTTTGTCCTGAATGATGACACAACGGACACATTCCGTGATAACTGTGAAACTGAAACCTCTATCCGTGCATTGGGCAATCAATGATTTTAAAGGCCTGGTTAAGCATCAAACAACGAAGAAATGAGGTCTTGTAAGGTCAAAATGACAATTGAACTCGCTTAAAGCAAGTAAAAAACACTGGCAGCTGAAAAGCATCTCTTGATCCCCACGTCCAGCCCCATGAAAGCAATGCATAAGGAGTCTGCGCAGGCCAGCCAATGCATCAGCATAGGGATAAACGTGGATTCACATCTCTTGGTGAAAATAAATCACGAATTGGGTTTGAGGGGGCAATGCGACTTGGCATCGGGAAGGATGGGCCGATGCAATGCACCACTGGGTTCTGGTGGGTTTTATTTACCTTGCGTTTCCTGGTTTCGGCAGAGCCGCTCCACACAAAGCACTGGTATATGACCCGCAGATTCTGCTTCCAGTTGTCCACTTTGAACCCGTTCACATGGGAGCACCCGGCCGGACTCATGACAGAAAACACATTCGAGTTCCTCTGTATTTCAGCGATGAAATCAAGTCACGAGGAGAATTATCCACCAATTGTTCCGTTTTGCCAGGCAATGCGGGGTCGAAGATGCGTACCTTATACATGCGTGGAGCGTTTCTCAATACCCTCGCTGCATAAATATGTCATTCCTGACGATAATAACGCGCGCAACTTGTGCTAAAACTGAGCACACTTTGATATTGTATTTTCCAAGTCGGCTGTTTTAATGGACGGCAATGGAATTCAACTGAGCACCGTGGGCGACGCTATCCTTGCGATACTAAACGCTGATTGGCAGATGGCTTGTAGCCCGCGGCGTTGATTGGCTATCGCGCGTGTCATTTCCGTTAAAGCCCCGCCGACGTTTCAGAACTCTGAAATCTGATTGGCTGGCGCGTCCGCTTGTCTTTGTTCAAAGACTTGGAGCGCTTGTGATTGGCTGCGGTAGCACCTCGCGTCGGTCCTTCTGTTCTTGTTGGTTATGTCATTCAAGTAGACACAAAACACACATGCCTACCTGCATTGAAGTTGTGAAATTGAAAATCACTGTTGTCATGAGTGTGAAAGTGGAGCGTCTCTGTCCCATTCGTTCATTACGGAGAACTGCTTGCTGATCCCATGGACTGGTTGGATAAATTAATTAAATAAGGGATTTGAACCGGTCTTAATATTTTGTTTATTGCATATAATCGTCATATTTTAGACCCAAACCATGGATAAAATACAAATATAAATTTGCCTTAAAGAAAATTATGCATATTTTCTGTCAAAATTAACAAGACAAACCTCAAATTTAGCATCTTATGTGGGATCGACACAGGAATAAAAAATACTGTAACATCAAAAAACACCCCAATATCATCAATGAATGCTTCATAAATAATATTACAACGAAATATAACAATGACCTGTTTTGATATTAACACAGGATTATAAAAGATAATAAGACATGATTAATTAATGGTTTATGAATAATATTGCAAGAACAATTAAGCCTGTAAGTTGAAATGTAACTTCAATTTCAACTCCAAAAAAATGTAATTTATTTTTTTGCTAGTGATATGCTCCCAAGAAACGCGCCCAAATCATCAAAATAACAATTGATTGAAACTTAACAAGAAAGCCTTTATGAATAGTGCCACATGAATATAAGAAACACCCCAAAATCATCAATAATTTATTAATGAATAATACTACAAGAAAAAAATGTAGCCTATAAGTTAAAATTTAACCAGAAAACCCATCATTTAATGATCTATTTTGTTAGTGACACGATTTTAAGATAACTCACTCTCTTAATAAAAACACCAAAATCATCATTAGATTGTTTATATAATATATTAAAAGAAAATGAATTGAGATTTAACATTTTATCATCAAATTTGATTGTGGCATATGACTATACATCATTAAATGGCGTTTAAATAATATTACAAGGAAATGAGGTTCAATAAAATTGATAATTCTGTACACAACCCTAAATTTTATAATCTTTTTAGGCAGTGACACGGAAATACAAGACATACCTCAAAAGCATAAATAAATTGTTTGTAAATAATATAGCAAGAAAATGTTTTTTGATCAAAATTGGGACGAAAACACACATTTCTTCTAAACAATATTAGACGCTTATTTATGAAAAGCCTGGTTTGAAATGCCCATCATTTTCTTCCATGACTTAAACAGTCAGGCTCAGGTAGCATTAGTTTAGGTATGTGATGATGGATAGTCTATTTATGGTAAAGCCCAAATCGTGAGAGACCTCTAGAGGACAGGAACAAAAGCACACCTTTGCCACGGGCCACGTCTCTGCTGAATCACCGTGAACCGCAGTGAACATCCGGCTCCGGGGCCAACTAAACATCACATCAGCTGACGGATGAAACTGTGTTTGGGTGAAAGAGCATCACGTCACAGAAGCTGTCCAAAGATCCTGTAAATGTCAGTGCACTAAATAGAGCCTGGAGATGCATTGAGACGATAACACTGGTCAAGCTCCGCTTTTTGTGCAGGTGAAACTCGAAAAATTAGAATATGGTGCAAAAGCTCATTTAAAATGTGAAATTAATATATTATATAGACTCATTACATGCAAAACGTCATATTTCAAGCCTTTATTTGTTATAATTTTGATGATTATGGTTTAAACCCCAAATTCAAAATTAGATTGTGAAAGGTTTTCATAAGCTGTAATCCATAATCATCAAAATAATAAAAAATAAAGGCTTGAAATATCTCACTCTGCATGTAATGAGTCTATATATTAAGTTGAATTACTGAAATAAATAAACTTTAGCACGACATTCGAGTTGATCTCAAGATTTATTTCGTTCCGTGTTGCTGCAATAAAGACGAGTATCAACTCTTTTGACTAAAGAAGTCCAGTTTCTTTATTTCGGATGACTGTAAATGATGCAGCGGCGTGTCAAACAAGCATTGATAAATAAACACTGACAAAATTGAGTTCTTGTTTAGGGTGCACTGTGACAGAATCAAAAAAAAAAAACAAAAAAAAAAACGGGTCATTCCACACATTTATGTTTTCCTCCAATATAGTCCATATTCAACAGAGCATGAAGGTTTTCCAGCTTTGGGATGAGGAAGGGGACACGGGGAACGCAGAGATCCTCCCGAAAGCTTCAAGAGTAGCTTGACGTCTTGCTGCCGACGTCGTCCTCCTGCGTTCCCATACTCTGGAAGAGGGAAAACACAAATAAATGCTGGAATCACAAAGCTAGTTTAGACCGGTCTATCTATAGTGTTAGACAAGTCCAAAATTTGCTCATAGAGTTTCACAAAAATAAAGACTTAATTTAAAACAAAAAAATTAGACCACTTTCCCCAGGCTAACTTAGGTCTAATGGTGCGTTCACACCGGACGCGAATAGCGCGTCAGGCGCGAGTGATTTCAATGTTAAAGGAGAACAATGAACCTTTGGTCTAATAAAACATCGGTACCTAGTCAATCGTTCTCTGAGATTTGTTTTCATGATAATCGAATGTAAAGAGTTTTATCTCTAAAAACTGTTTAGCGTATAATGCTAATAATGGGGGCATTTACTAAGTAAAAAGAACGGTAACGGCGCTGTAATGGGGGAAACAGTAATTTAATGTTCGATTACTCGTTACTGAGAAAGATACTAGTCACTAGTAAAGTTGTTTATTTATAACACCATTATTCCCATCACTGATGGCCAGTCAGTGCAGTCAGACATCTTCAAGATCGATCACGATGTCGAATCATCAGATCGCACACATAATTTTGGTACCTTTTGCACGAACTGGGGATTCACGGTGATTTCCTGATCCATGGACTTAAGTTTTTCATCCAATTCTATACATTTCAGCATCTGGATTAGAGTCAAAGACAGATGAACAGCGAGACATCAGTCAAGACTCAAATACTCTACAATAACATGCGAGTCGATGCATTTCAGGTCATCTTGTGTGTTTAAATACATGAAATAAACATTATATAATGAATAACAAATCAGTTGTGCATAAACATACAGGTGAAACTGGAAAAATTAGAATATCGTGCAAAACTTTTCGTGCATTTATTCCAGAAATTCAACTTAAAAGGTGAAACTAATATATTATATAGACTCATTACATGCAAAGTGAGATATTTCAAGCCTTTATTTGTTGTAATTTTAATGATTATGCCTTTTCAATTTGGGGTTTTCATAAGCTGTAAGCCATAATCAGCAAAATTATAACAAATAAAGGCTTGAAATATCTCACTTTCCATGTAATGAGTCTATATAATATATTAGTTTCAGCTTTTAAGTTGAATTACTGGAATAAATTAATTTCTGCATGATATTAGTAGTGCAGAATCTGGCATTTCTTCTTCACATGCATTACATTTATCATAAAAATATTCGGATTTCTCTCAAATGTCCCTGAAAGAGATGATTAGAGAGATAATGAGGGTATAAATATACACTGCATGTTGTTCTCTGGTGGTATTTCAGGCGTAATGTTCTTGTTTTCTTCGGCACATCGGCAGTGAAGTGAGAAAAGCACTGTTTTATAATTACTAACCTCTTGGTCGATTTTGTGGAGCATTGCAGGGTTGTTGTATTTCTCAGGGTTGTCATGGAAACAGACCATGCCGTCTTTCTGGTTGATACTTGCATAAATCTCTCCATCCTCAATCTGAGAGACCAAAAAGGAAAGATTTGAGCAACAATCTGTGAATATTGCAGAGCATGTGAGACAAATTGATACAAATAAAACGTTTCCAGTAGTCATCACAAAAGAATTCAGTAAAGTGATTTCTCAACAGGAAATAAAAAATATATTTCATTATTATTTCAAATTATACAGTTATATATGGAAGCTTGTTTTTCTGCCACAAAACTAAAAAAAAATAATTTTATTCTAAAAAATAATTCAATTCTGACTTTTTTCTTCTCGTAACTGTATGTTTATTTCAGGGTTAGTATCGTTAACTTTTACTAAAACTATTACAACATTTCTGTTGATTTAAATAAAGCCGAAATAGAATAAAAGACAGAAAATTAGAAAGTTTAATCATTAGAATTACCTGAAAATAAATAAATAAATAAATAAATACACTAAAATAAAGAATAAATTTAACCTTAATAGCAATATTTAAAAAACAAATAATAATAATTTTTTTTTATAAAATTAACAAACACAAAAATATTTTAAAAAGCCAATTCAAAATATTAATAAAACTATGATAAGAATTACATTTACACTAGTTCATGTCTAATTTTCCTATAAATAAAGTCAGAATTGTGAAATAAAAAGTACCAATTCATTTTATAGACCACAATTCTGGCTTTTTTTCTTCTCGCAACTGTACGTTTACTTCAGGGTTATTATCGTTAACTTATACTAAAACTATTACAACATTTCTGTTGATTTAAATAAAGCCGAAATAGAATAAAAGTTGAGAAAATTAGAAAGTAACTGAAAATAAATAAAAACGAAAAATTACGAAATACATTAAAATAAAGAATAAATTTAACCTTAATAGCAATATTTAAAAAATAAACAATAAAAGCGCATAATGAAATTAAAAACTTTACTAAGATTAACATGAACACGAAAATATTTTAAAAAGCCAATTCAAAATATTAATAAAACTATGATAAAAATTACAATTACACTAGTTCATGTCTAATTTTCCTAATAAATAAAGTCAGAATTGTGAAATAAAAAAATACCAATTCATTTTTTACTTCACATTGCCAAGTAAAGTCACAGAATTACTTCTGAATTACTTTTATTAGGCTTTTCAT